TTCTGGGGTTTTATTAGCTTCTTTATTCGCAACATAGTTGCTTAGAGTTGCAGCTGAGAGGCCGGCAAGTCAGGCGGGGAATGTTGGAGTTCTCCGTCACTGAAGCAAAGCAAGCCTCCTGTTCACTTCAGTTGCCTGGCTGCCGGCGCCATCTTGGTTGGCAGTTAATTTGCATATCGCCCTGATTAGCCAATGGGAAGTGTGTCGGAGGTACGGTTAATTACCATGTTTGTCTATTATTAGATAGGATACTATATCATTTACTTTTTTAAAAAAATGTTCATGCAGTGCAGTTGGTTTTCACTTCTTACGTTATGCATAAATTTTAACACATGCATAAATTCTTATGTCTATCGCCACAGTCAGAATACAGGACAGTTCCATACTCCAAGTAATCATCACATCCTCCTCATCCCTAACCCCTAACAACTGCTGATCTGTTCATCGTATAGTTTGTCTTTTCAATAATGGGATCGTGCAGTATGTAACATTTTGACACTGGCTGCTTTTACTCAGAATAATGCCTTTGAGATTTATCCAAGTCGCTGAGTATATCAGTAGTTCATTCCTTTTTATTGCCAAGTAGTATTGTATGCTGTGGCTATACTGCAGTGTATCCATTCACCCACTGAAGGAAATTTGGGTTGTTTCCAGTTCCCAGGACACTTATAAAAAGAACTGCTAAAACATTAATGTGCAGGCTTTAATGTAAACATAAGTTTTTGTTTCTCTGGAATATAATTTACATATTAATTACATTCTTTTTTTTTTTTTTTTGCATGTTTTGTTCACAGATGTATTAGCTTAAGTTTCTAAAACAGTTCCTGGCACATACCAGGCTCAACAGATTGGTGAATATGCAATGTTACTTTAAAATGGAAAGGTAGCTCTAGTTGTTTTGGCTCAGTGGATAGAGCATCAGCCTGCGGACTGAAGGGTCCCAGGTTCGATTCCTGGTCAGGGCACATGCCTGGGTTGTGGGCTTGCTCCCTAGTGGGGGGTGTGCAGGAGGTAGCTAATCGATAGCTCTCATCATTGATGTTTCTATTTCTCTCCCTCTCCCTTCCTCTCTGAAATCAATAAAAATATTTTTTTTTAAAAAGGAAAGGTATTACAATGGGAGAAAAAAAGGGGACACATGTAATACTTTCAACAATAAAAATTTAAAAAATAAAATAAAATGGAAAGGTATAGTGTAACCAGGATTATTCTGAGCACATTCAGGGTTTACATCTGCAAACCCTAGACTGCAGTCTACTCAGACCCCAAGTGGTAGGAGACTTGAGTTGAAAGACACCTGTGAGTTGAGAACATAAAAAACTTTTTTCTGAAAGTATTTCCTCCCTAATGTTTTTAGTGGCCATTTATCGGATTCCTGATTTGAGAATCTTGGGATGTGGTTAAGGAGAAACCTCTTGGGAGAATACTTTAACAGTGATGTCAACATAACTCATTTGTGAGCAAAATGAAAAGCCAACTTTTCCTCCCTAAGGATAACCTAGAAACAAACTTGCTTGCAAAAGCAAGGGAAATAATTGGCACCATTCTCTCCACATTGTCCAATTTGTTTAGTTTCACTTAAACTCACAGTAAAGGTCACTGGATAGGATAAGAAAAAGATAAGTTTAGGGGTAAAGAGGAAAATAATGATTCTGTGAGAGATTGTGTTCATAAGAGAAGGTGATTGATTTACTGGAATATTTGTATTAACAACCGTAGCCTATATCTGACTATGAAGTATCTTTTGAATAATCTTTTATTTAAAATTATTTGCTGACTAATGTCCCAAACCAGAATAGCAGTGTGCCTCATTAAAATACATAGACCCCCCATAAACCCTATTCTTTAGAGGATGGAATTCCGTAAGCATCAGTTGGCTCTTGGATCCTATCCAGTGCATTATAGCTTTTGAGGGCTAGCAAGATTTCACTTTAAGGTGGTTCCATGTTTAAAGTTTGAGCAAGGTTTCGGGATAAGTTTTCTTCATTTTTTAAATATTTCTTTTGGTATAAATGATATGGACTCATAAAAATTTCAAACTACATGAAGATATACAGAACTACATGAAGAAAAAAAGGCATTCCTACACCTATATATGAGCACTATTGATATTTTGATGAAAAATCCTTCCAGATACCTTCCCAGGTAGTTGTACAGTACACATATGTGTTTTTGTTACTCTAAATAGGAAGGGCTACAGTGATGCTTTTAGGATGGAGACAGCCCCCTTCACTTTTAATAAGAGTTAGTACATAGAAGAAGAAAAAATTAACTTCTATACCTAAAACATTGCAGACATCAGTGTTTAATTAAACATTTTTAAGATGATCTTTTTCAGGAAAAATGAAATAATTCTGAAATATATTGAGGGTTCTGAGTGCACATGGGGGTATAGAGGCTTTGCTTATTCATCCAAGTATCCAGGTTAAAGCACTGTGGCAACTTGGAAGGTCTAAGTATAGGACTAAAACAGCACCATTAACTCTCCATCTTCCCATATCTCAGGCAAATTAGAAATAGATGTCTATTCATAGTTCTTAAGCCATTATAGATGGCCAGGTATATGGGGTGGGTATCATTGTCATCAACTCAAATGAAACTCATAGCTCTCTGAAAAAAGGCCAGTGCACGAATACTAGAGGCCCAGTGCACGAATTCGTGCACAGGTGGAGTCCAGCTCGGGGGAGGGGCTGCAGGAGATTGGCCAGCTGGCCCCGCCCCTGATCGGTCTGGTTGGCCGGCCGCAGTGCGGATCATAGCAACTGGTCATTCCTGTCCTGTCGTTCTGGTCACTTGGCTTTTATATGTATAGATGTGTGCAGTAATCAGTTCAATGATACTGTGTGATTGAATGAACTTCTGAGGAGATCATGAAGGATCCTTTCCTAACCACTATAATATTCAAGATTAGTCATTTAGAATGTCTTTAAGTTCCCTCAATTGGTAGCCCAATAGTTGGTATACTGCCTTAAATAGTTCAAAAGGCAAGTCTCTGCCAATGACAGTGACTGGAAACTGTAGGAATTTCTGCCAAAGTTCTCGTGATCTAATCCTCTCTTGGAGGTACAAAGCTAAAGCATGCATTGAAATGCCTGAGTCAGCCACTCAAGGGATATACTGGCTGCAACCCTGCTCTTTTTTCTGGGATGAAAAAATCTGCTCGGTGACCTGAGACAGCTAGCTAGCTTTAACTCTCTCCACCTAAAAATACATGTATTATAACTGCATAGAAAACACGCACACACTCGTGCGCGCGCACACACACACACACATATACAAACACACATAAACTATATCTAAATGTTGGCATCATTGAAAAAGGACCCTTTATGATCTCTTATATTTTCTAGAGTTATGCTTAATTTCAGCAGATCTTGTTTAGTAACTTATAAGAAAATAACTTCACCTCTTCTATTGATTGCTGTTTAAAAACTTCTCCAACTTTCTAATTTGGGGAAGGAAAAGAAAGCCACCTACTATTTATTGAATGTTTAATATATGCCTGGAATTGTTACTTGTTTAGTGTAAACTCCTATTTTATAGACGAGGACCTCAGAACAGGCAAGTGAGGTCACATAGCTCTGAGGTGGCAAGCACAGTTAGTATTTGAACCAGGTCTGTATGTTCCCAAACGCCCCTCTACCACCTCATCATGCTATAAAATGAACCGTAGAATGTTAATATAAAAAACTATTATCAATATTATTAAGTAAAAAATACAAGGTGCAGAATAGTAAGCATAATATACTGCCGCTATGTGAATGTGAGTGTATACATATATTCACGTGTGCGTGTCTGTTGTACATATGCTTAGAACATCTAGTGTATCTCTGGAATACCATACAATGGTTGGACCCTGGGAGGGGGAACTGTGTTGCTAGAAACCTAGACTTTTCATTATAAAATCTTTTATACAGTTGAATTTTGTCATATATGCATACATTTGATTATTTTTTAGATTTAGTAGTTTATTAGTAAAGTTTCATAAGCATAAAGCTTCTAATGCTATAAAATGTTAATGCTAGCTCTTATGATACTGATAAGCATTGATAATGATCATATCTTTCTAGTTTTTAATTCCCATCATCTACTCTAATGACCTACCACTCTGGAATTTGAAAGGGAGATAAAATATTGATACAACATGTAATTGATGTTAGCAGAAATAATGGTGACTGATTCTTCTATGTTCAACTATTTACATTTTTAGTGCTATTTAAGATTTTAATAATCTTTGGTTTATCTATTTTTTGAAATAACATCATGCCTCAAATACAGTAGTAGTTGCCAGTCATGATTGAAGTAAAAGAAATCTATATATATAAAAGGCTAATATGCAAAGTGTCCGACCGTCCAACCGGTCACTATGACAGGCACTGACCACCAGGGGGCAGACACTCAACACAGGAGCTGCTGTGACGCACACCGGCCATTTACAGAGAAATGGCACTGCGGTCCTGGCACCCACAAAACAATACTCGGCTTCCCCCAAGTGGGACACAAGCGCCACCACCACCCTGGAGTGACAGCCCACCAAATTGCAGCCCATGCTGCCAAGATCCCATGGTGCAAAATGCAGCCCACAGCCCAGCCCGGAAATGGTCATTGTGGGTGCAATGAGTCACGTACAAAAGCCCGCGCGCCCCCCCCGCCCAGTGACTAGCCTCTTTGGAGTTTCTTCAGCCCAGGAACATGACTTGCTTTATAGCCAGGTGCATACATTTCACACTTTAACCAAATGTCTGCGAAGCATTTTCCCTGTGCCTCACCTCATTTGATCCTCACAGAAGTCCTGGAGTAGGTAGATAGGAGACTCTGTAGAATCCTGTTTTCTTTTCATTAGCCAGAAAATGGAGATTTAGAAAGCTTAGAAACTTGACCCAACTGAAAAGAAATAAGAAATGGTGGACCTTGAAATGGGCTGGAAAAAGTTTAGCTAAATCAGAAAGCAGGTCTAATTAAGTAAGCTTATCTATGTGTATAAAGCTCTCTCTGGTGCCAATCTCACGCATGTGTTTCGATCTGTCATTGTTGATCGTGAATTTGATTGACACTTTTATTATAAAAAAAGGGTGAATAGCAATATTAAAATATTTCTTCTAATTAATTTCCTTTCAGTGTGCACGAATTCGTGCCCTGGGCCTCTAGTATTTTATGTTTCCTAAAATTGAACTTAAAAGAAAAAAGTTTCCCATCTATTAAAAGCTATATTTTAATTTGGGGCTACCATTTATGGAAATACCTTACCTTGAATATGCTAATTTTTGTACTTGTTTTCAAAATTGTAATGATCTGTTTACACAGTTGTCTTCCTTAGTAGACTGGTCATTCCTTGAGGGCAGGGTCCATGCCTCATTTGTTCTTGTTTCTCAGGGCCTTGCCTAGTGCTTGACACTTAGTAGGTAGCTAAGAATGTTGATTGAATTGAATCAAATTGAACTAGAGATACTTAGCTTAGTCCAGTGAAGAGAGCGAGAAATCATCTCACTCTTCAGATAGTTGAAGGTGTTCTCTCATGTGGAAGAGAGTGCTCTATATGGCTTCAGTAAACAGAAAAAACAATGAGTGAAAGTTTCAAGATGTTTCTAAAATCTAAATGTTGACTCATCTAAATGTCTCAGGAGGTACTGAATCTATCACCAGAAGATTCATTCATAGCTGGTCAACTCCCAAGACAATTTAAGAATTTAATTATTCATTTGTTTCTTCACTCATTTATTGAAACATTTGCTGAACAGACACTGTTCTAGATATTGGATGCCAAGATTGAATAATTCATAATCCTTGCTTGGGGAATTCAACAGCCGGCAGGGGAACAGAAGTTTAAGCAAAGGATTACAAGCCAGGGTTCTAAGAGGATGTTGTTGTAGAGGTGTAATGGTAATACCCTGGAGAGAGGAGACACAAAATGCTGCTGAGGTGACTCTTGAATAGAGTTGATCAGGCAGACCAAGTGGGGAAGGAGTGTCCTAAGAAGACAGAACAATATATACATAAACTCAGAAGTTAAAGTTATTAAAATAGAGTAATGCTATTTCATTTGTATTACATGCCCTGAAAGGACCCTCTAATACTAAGATTCTGTGTGCTGGCTCTTTAAATTAGTGTTTTTGGCTTTGTTTTTTACTTTATGCTAGATATTGCATGAATGTATGCATTTTAGTTGTCATTTTTTATAGGAAGCAAAAATGCTAACCTCCTTCTTTGATTTTTGTTCATAGTCAAATTCATCCGAGAAGTAACGCCATATATCAAGAAGCCATCATTAGTGTCAGATCTGCCATGGGAAGGTGCAGCTCCCCAATCACCAAGCTTTAGTGGCAGTGAAGACTCTGGTTCTCCAAAACACCAGAACAGCACCAAGGACAGGAAGGTCATTCCTCTCAAAATGTGCTTTGCTGCTAGAAACCTAAGCATGCCGGATCTGGAGAACAGGTGAGCTGTACCTAAGCAGAACGTCGCACTGAAAGACAAGTTGCAATATCATTTTGCAGTAACATGACTGACTAAATCTCACAGAGGGAAACATCAGTCTGAGATAATAGTTTTTGGCATTCCATATTTAAATTACTTCATACATATGTGTACAGTACATATATAGAAAATTTGAGGGCAAACAGACAAGAAGCTTAATGGTGGATACTCCTGGGGAGTGAAATGGGATTGGAAGGAAAAAAGGGACTTATGGTCTTTGTTTTATACCTTTCTGGAATGTTAGTATTACTTTTTTCACTATGAACGTTACTTTGTAATTGAAATAATTTCACTAAAGTAATTTTTTTAATGTTTGTTTAGGTGTAAATTCCTTATACTGTTGGTGTGTAAAGAGTTAGAGATCTGCATTGTAGACCTGACTATCAACTAATAATGTGACCCTGGCAAGTTAGCTTCTCTTGACCTTAGTTTCCTTGTTTGTAAAATGGGAGAGTTGAATTGGATAATTTCTAATGCCCCTCCTAGTTCTATAAACATTTGGTTTCTATGAGTTTGTCTTCATTAACTCCATGAAGTGGTGCTGGTAAACCTAGTGTTAGGTTAGGGATTAGGGGGCAGGGGTGGGAGGTAAACTTGTCCAAATACATAGTTAAGGACAAACTTTTCATTATGAGCTTTCACTTTTATGGTCTCCTCCAGTCTGAATGCAGGGCCAGGTACCTGATCAGACGGAATGGATCATAGAAGACAGCAAGTAGCTGAGTGACTTTCTTGGGCATTTTAGACCACAGGGACATTAAAGCTCCTGCTCTATAGCATGTGGTATGGTATGCCCTAACGGACTGAGCTGCAATCAGACAGACCTTGATTTGAATCCCATGTAGGTACCTGCTCCAAGGAAGGGACTGAGCAAGTCCCTTCATCTCCATATCGTCATCTGTTAAAAAACACACCCAAAAACGTAATAATTAACTCATTGTGAAGATTAAATATGAAGCCCTCTGCATAGAGTCAAGCACATAGTGAATCCTTTAAAAATAGTAGCTTTAAAAAGTATTTAAAATGTCTACACACTTTAAAAATTATATTCTGATATATTTGTATTGTTTTTGTTGCTTTTTAAAATATTTTTAAATTTATTTCAGAGAGAAAGGGAGAGGGAGAGATAGAAACATCAATGATGAGAGAGAATCATTGATTGTCTGCCTCCTACACACCCCCTACTGGGGATCGAGCCCACAACCCAGTCATGAACCCCTGGATTGAACCCAGAACCCTTTAAATAAGTCCCTTATCTCTGTTTGAAAATCTTTATCTTCCATAGTCTTTTGTAAAACTCTGAGCAAGAAATAGGCTTAGATGTTCTCTAATCTGGAAAATACTTTGGAATCTGTTTTTAAGCCGTAGGTAGGCATGTCGTTTCTCATCATCCCATCATTCTTCACTTCCCCCTAATATTTTATTATGAAAGTCTTTCAACACAGAGCAAAGTTGAAAGGATTTTATAGTCACTGCCCATTTTTCCACCACCTAGATTCTACCATTAACATTTTACTCTATGTTTTATCACAGTTTTTATAAAATGCATTTTAGAGTGAATTGCAGACATTAATATATTTTCCTCTAAATACTTAAGCATGCATATAAATAACTAGAATTCAGTGTTTTTTATAGTTTTTTTCCCCCTTTTGGGACAATATTTACATACAATAAAATGCATAAATCTTAAGTTTTGACAAATGCATACAATTATATAGCGCAAGCCTATCAAGATACAGAACATTACCATCATCCTGGAAAGTTTTCTTGTGCCCCTTCTCAGTCAGTTCTCTCTCCCACCTCCCAAGGCAACTACTGTTCTGATTTTCTAGCTTAGTTCTAACTATCCTACAACTTTATATAAGTGTATTTTTTTGTGATGTGATAGAATTATTTTGCTCGGCATAAAGTTTTTGAGAATCGTCCATCTTGTTGCATATATTGATAGTTCTTTCTCTCTGTTGCTGAGTAGTATTGTGTTGTATGAATGTATCACACTTTATCTTTATTTTTGTGTTGATGGATACCTGAGCTATTTCCAGTTTGGAGGTGATATTAATAAAGTTATCGTAAATATATTTTTTTAATCCTTATCCGAGGATATTTTTTTCATTGATTTCTAGAGAGAGTGGAAAGGAGGGAGGAGGGAGAGAGAGAGAGACCCTTTGGTCTGTGGGCTGACACTCTAACCACTGAGCAAAACCAGTCAGGGCTATTGTGAATATTTTTCTATAACTCTTGTTGTGGGCATACACTTTCATTTCTCTTGGGTAAATTCTTAGAAGTGGAATTGCTGGGTCATGGGATAGGTATATGTTTAGTTTTTTAAAAAACTGCCAGACTTTTCCCCAAAGTGGTGGTGCCATTTTACATTCCTACCACCAGTGTAGGAGAGTTGCTGTTGCCTCTCATCCTTGCCAGCATTGGTGATGGCACTCTTCAATATTAACTATTCTGGTGGGTATGCAGGAATCTCTTTGTGGTTCACCTTTTACCTTCTAAATGAAAAAGGTATTTGACACAAGAGGGAAGCATCCTTTTCTTCTGTTTTACTACTTTTATTTCGTTTCATATTCACTATCCAGAGTTGGGAAAAAAGAAGTGCTGACCATCAGAACGAGTACATAAGGAGGAGGAAGTGTATTCCCTTCTCCACCTTGAGTTCTCAAGACCTCGCTAGATGCTTCTGATAGTTATAAACAGTTAATTCTGGAAAGTGAAAGCTAAATAAATAATGATGACGTTCAGGGAGAGAACATGAGCCCATTCCTTAGCAAACAGCCATGTGGGCAGTGTGGAGTTGAGCAAGGACAAGGTGTTCTTAAACACTGCTTTTCGGAAATGTACATCTGTTTCCTTAGAGTTGGTTCACAATGTCTTGTTCATCTTCACATTGGCTGTTTTCCATGTAAAAGGTAAATTTTGGTTTTATGACACATAAAACAATACAATTACTACTAAATTGAGCACATAAGTTATATCAGAGACTTTACTAAACAGAAGAAATAAGCAGGCTAAACTTATAGAATCCTATGCTTCCGTGTATCTAGGTATTGATTTAATTCATATGATCAGCATGGAGTCGCATTTCTCAGGAAATCCTCAGTGGTTTGACGAGAAGCCAAAACTGTTCACACTGTAGCTGTTTCCTCCTCTCTCCTGTGGACCCAAACAATTCCTGGCAGACTGCCTCCAAGTTTTTGTTAGGAGAGTTTTCATATGAATTTTTCTTTCAAAACAGCAATAGGCTTTAGGAAATCCGTTGTCCCTTTTGTCAGGTGTAGGGGAGCTTCCTCTTCAAAGACAGATTCTTCTGGATCCTAGAACCATCAGAATTTTGGAGTTTCTTCTCATTTAATTTGCCGTTTCACAATTCCTTTTTAAAAAACACCGCAGAATTTCTCTTTTCATGAAATACCAGTGATCCTGCCCTGAAAACTAATTTATTGCCTATTTTCACATTTTTCCAGCCTACCTGACTTTGTTCATCAAGCTTAATTTTATTTTATAACAGACTTACTTTCCATTCCTCCAGTTATTAATAACTAGGGTCTTTGATGTTAGGATGTTCAGAGTTCAGAGGCTGTTGGAGGAGATATGTCTGAGAGACTGTCAGGAACTGTATGAGGTGAAAAGGCCTTTTCAGAAGGTGAACGTTTTGTACCCAGAGAAGGATGAACTGATTCCTATCTGTAGTGCTAAGTAGGCCAGGAGGAGGAGTGAAAGAAATTTCTTGTCATTGTTTTAGGACTGAACTTTTAGCATGTGTCTAAGGATGGTAAGCTGGTTACAGGGAGTGCCAAAGCAGCAGGTAGGAATAATTAGTCCCTTTATAAAGCAATCAGCGAGGTAGAGGATCTGAGTTACGGACATCACCAGCTCTTCCATCCAGTTAGGTGAGATGAGTGTGGGTTTGAATCTTTTGCTGGTTTGAGGGTGGGGTAGTCACTGGCCTCTGGGTGTGGGGAACGCTGACACAGGTTTCAGCCAGACCCTTTATTTTACCTGTGTGCTTTACTCCTGCGGTCAGAGGTACCTGGTGCCTCCAACTCCTCAGCCTCTTTGGGATTCTATACCAAGGATTGGCTGGGAGTTGGCTCTCCCCACTTTTTTTAGGTCTGATACCTCATTTAACTCCTTTGTCTGCTTGCCAATTTCCAAAATTTTGTAGTGCTTCTCTTCTTTTCTCCATGAGCGTCTAGGATTGTGCTTTTTAAAAAAAGTTCCTTTTAAAGGTTCCTGATGACTTCTTAGATACAACACCAGACTCACAGTACATAAAAGAAAAATTTTATAAGTTGACCTTTATTAAAATTAAAAACTTCTGCTCTATAAAAGGCACTGTATATTAGGGTTCTCCAGAGAAACAGAACAATAGAAAAGATGGATGGATGGATGGATGGATGGATGGATGGATGGATAGATGATAGATAGATAGATAGATAGATAGATAGATAGATAGATAGATAGATAGATATAGATAGATAGAAACAGATAAATTTTAGGAATGGGCTCATGAAATTATGGAGTGCGAGAAGTCCCATGATCTGCTGTCTGCAAGTTGGTGAAACAGGAAAGTCAGCAGTGTTATTCAGTCTGAGTTCAAAGGCCCACGGATTAGGAGTGCCAGTGTGCGAGGATAAGAGAAGATGGATGTCCCAACTCAAGCAGACAGCAAATTTGCCCTTCCTCCGCCTTTTTGTTCTATTCATGCCCTCAGTGGATTGCATGATGCCCACCCAAGTTGGTGAGGGCCATTCTACTGGTTCAAATGCTAATGTCTCCCGGAAACACCACAGATACACCCAGAAATAATGTTTTAACAGCAATCTGGTCAAACTTTATTTAAGGATGACACATAAAATTAACCATCATACACCATTAGAGACCGAGAAGAAGCCACAGAATGGGGGGAAAAATCTTTGTAAAATGCAGATCAGATAAAGGACTGGTACCCAAATAAACAAAAAATTCTTAAAGCTCAACGATAAGAAGCCAACCCAATTTAAAAAATGGGCAACAGGTCTGAACAGACACCTTACCAGAAGAGAAATACAGTTGGCAAATAAGATTATGAAAAATGCTCAACATCATATGTCATTAGAGAATTGCAAATCAAAACAATGAGATACCACTGCACACCTATTAAGATGGCTAAAATTAGGGCAACAGTAGCTCTTTTTAATCCTCACCTGAAGGTATATTTCCATTGATTTAGAGAGAGAGAGAAATATCTCGATGGAGAGAAACATTGATCATTTGCCTCCCACATGTACCCCCACTGGGGATTGAACCTGCAACCTAGATAAGTGCCCTGACTAGGAATTGAACCCCCAACTTTTTGGTGTATGGGATGACGCTCCAACCAACTGGGCCACCCATCCAGGTCTAGAGCAACAGGAACTCTTATTTGTTGCTGGTGGAAATGTCCAGTGATCCAGCTGCTTTGGAAGACACCTTGTCAGGTTCTCACAAAGCAAAACAGGGTCTTACCATTTGACCCAGCAATCATGCTCCTCGGATGCTTTACTACATGGCTAACTCCATTGGGGAGGCATGTGAGTGGGTGAATAGATAAGTACAGGTAGGTGTGTTTATAACCTGTCTCATAGCATAACACCTGCTTTGGGGAAGTGCCCAGAGGTATAGAGGCTTCCATTGCAGTTCGGCTTTGCCACTACCACCTTTAGAGTGCCTTTTTTAGATAAGAACTTCATAATAGTCTTCATAGTCCTGAATAGAAGCACTTTTTATAACCTGTAATTGTGTGTTAATTGTTTACTTTTCTGCCTTCCCCATTAGACTATAGACCCAGTGAGGGTAGAGACTATTTTTTTCATCACTGTATCACCAATAGCAGTATCTACCACAGTATCTGGTACGTAGAGTAGGTGCTCAATAAATGTGTGTTTAAGAAAGGTAGACTGCCGAAACCAGTTTGGCTCAGTGGATGGAGCGTTGGCCTGCGGATTGGGGGGGTCCCAGATTTGATTCCGGTCGAGGGCATGTGCCTGGGTTGCGGGCACATCCCCAGTGGGAGATGTGCAGGAGGCAGCTGATCTATGTATGTTTCTCTCTCATTGATGTTTCTGACTCTCTGTCTCTCTCCCTTCCTCTCTGTAGAAAATCAATAAAATATATTTTAAAAAAAAACAAAAAAAGAAAAGAAAGGTAGACTAACCAGTTTTCAAATGAGAGTGAATATTTGCTGTATTAAATGTGGCGAATTTAAATATTTGGCAAATGAGAGGAATACAAGCTTCAAGGCAGAAATGCCAGTGTAGCCCAGCCGGTATTGCTCAGTGGTTGAGTGTTGACCTATGAACCAGGAGGCAATGTTTCGATTTCCTGTCAGGGCACATGCCTGGGTTGCGGGCTCAATTCCCAGTAGCGGGTGTGCAGGAGGCAGCTGATCCATGCTTCTCTTTTATCACTGATGTTTCTATCTCTCTCTTCCTCTCCCTTTCTCTCTGAAATCAATTAAAAAAAATTTTTTTAAAGAATGCCATTGTACATGTAAACTGCTTATCTTTGGCGGGAGTTGTAGGATCTGATGGCAGTGCTTCAAGGCAGCAAAAACTGTCTTTAGGAAGACAGCGGCAGTTTTCAGTTTCTAGTCTACCGTGAGAAGCACTCCTAAGAGCTTTTTCTTTTCCATTTTGAAAGAACTGATAGAACACAGCAGTGTGTGTATATAGTAGTCATTTATTTATTTGACTTTTTAAAGTCATCTTGACAAAAACTTTGGCCAAAACACAAAACAGTACCCAATAAATTGCTGTATACATCATTTGTTCAATGTACTTTTAAAAATTTTTAACTGCCGAAACCGGTTTGGCTCAGTGGATAGAGCGTCGGCCTGCGGACTGAAGGGTTGCAGGTTCGATTCTGGTCAAGGGCATGTACCTTGGTTGCGGGCACATCCCCGGTGGGGAGTGTGCAGGAGGCAGCTGGTCGATGTTTCTCTCTCATCAATGTTTCTAACTCTCTATCTCTCTCTTTTCCTCTCTGTAAAAAAAAACTCAATAAAATATATTTAAAAATAAAAAATTTTAACTAATTTCTAAAGGTTACTTTTGAAATATATAAATTATTCTTAGTTGAGCATTAACAAATAATAGTCATAGAGGTGAAGATCTCTTAATTGTTTTACTACTATGACTCAGTAGATGATTTATTATATAATGTTACTCAAACACTAAAAAAAGAGTTGTAAATTTTCATAAGGAATCATATTCTTCAACTATTTCCTCTTTCCTTTATTTCACACAAAATTTCAGTTCACTGTTTGGCAGTAGGTTTTATTTATCTAGCAATACTTTTCTAAAGGTATTTTCTAAATGTTTTTTAAAATATTTATTTCTTCTTTACAATGTGCCCATCAGATTCAGCAAGCATGCTTTCTATTTCTTTGGCATGGAAATTAAGACAAAGTGTTCTATTACAGACTATACAACAGGTTCCCTCATCTTAGGTCAGTGGTCGGCAAACTCATTAGTCAGTAGAGCCAAATATCAACAGTACAACGATGGAAATTTCTTTTGAGAGCCAAAGTTTTTAAACTTAAACTATATAGGTAGGTACATTGTTATTAACTTAATTAGGGTACTCCTGAGCTGGCCTTTGCTAAAAACATCCTTAATCTGAGGGGTTTACCTCAGCGAACGTACCCCCACTTCTTCTAACGCCACTTCTTCAAAATAGACTCGCCCAGGCCAAAAACCGACTTCTGCGCATGGGCCACGAAGTTTCAATCACACTGTACGTGCGCGCCCGCACGTGGTATTTTGTGGAAGAGCCACACTCACGGGGCCAAAGAGCCGCATGTGGCTCGCGAGCCGCAGTTTGCCGACCACTGTCTTAGGTTATTATATTAACACATTGAAATAGGAGACCCAACAGTTAGTCTTTCTGATGATTACCAGTATCTTTCCACATGTGGTTTTCCCTGGAACTGGAGAAAACTATGGAATTAGGAGAAAGCATCTCTATTCTGGAATGTAAAATTAAAATAGATTCCCAATAATGTGTGTTAAACTCTGGCAGGTTTGATGACTTCTGATCTAGCTCGCTTTTTCATTTTCTTTTTCCACACAGATTGATAGAGCTACATTCTCCCGATAGCAGGAACACATTGATCCTACGCTGCAAGGATACAGCCACCGCACACTCCTGGTTCGTAGCTATCCACACCAACATTATGGCTCTCCTCCCACAGGTGTTGGCTGAACTCAATGCCATGCTTGGTGCAACCAGTACAGCAGGAGGCAGCAAGGAGGTCAAGCATATTGCCTGGCTGGCAGAACAGGTAGGCTGGGCGACAGGGCAGGGTTGCCATTCATAGCCAGGATGTTTCCCCCATTTCATATGTATCATGCAGTCATGTCTGGACATCTGGATTGCAGAGCTTTGTTTATCCTCCCTACCATTTAGCTATTTGTTGCTAATTATCATCACCACCAGAAGAACTGACCGCCATGAGAATCATCATCACAACAAACTCTTATTTATCACCTCTGTTCTTAATGACAGAAAATACTTTTCATGATTTTAGAACAGGATCAGCAAACTATTTCTGTAAAGGGCTAGATAGTGTCACAACTACTTGCCATTGTAAGCAATAAAACAGTCATAGAAAGTATGAAAATGAATAGGTGTGGCTGTGTTTCCATAAAACTTTATTTACAAAAACAAGTAGTGGGCTGCATTTGGCCCACAGGTCATAGTTTCCCAACCCCTATTCTAGTCTGCTGGCAAGAGTTTTAGGAACAGCAGGCTTAGTCCCCTGCTCTGGGAACAGTATAAAATATACAAAGTATTTATAAGCCATTAGACAATTGTCTTCCCCAACTGAAAAATGAAGAGAAAGAAGAGAACCTAAATGGCTATTGACTGAAGGGAAAGGAAGAACGTAATCCAAGTTTGACGTAAGGGAGACTAAAAGTTCTGTGCGATGTATGGTACAGACTTCTTCTTTTGGGTCCTTCACTGTCAGCTGGGCCAGAAGGACTTGAAAACAGAAGACTGGACTTGGGGTTCAAAGAAGAGTGTTCAAGTGCTAGTTCTGATTTTCACTGGTTTTAGGTCTTTTTAAAAGTGCCTTCATCTCTTTAAATCCTGGTTCCTTCATGTGTGTGCAAGGGGGCAGGCAGTTAGTATCAGCCCAGGGTGGTTTTGTTCTTTTATTTTTGTTTTGTGTTTTAAGTACAGTTTCCCAGGTCACCTCCCCCACCCCCACCCCTTCCACCTCAAAAGAGTTTTGAGCCCTAACCAGTTTGGCTCAGTGGATAGAGTCAGCCTGCGGACTCACGGGTCCCAGGTTCGATTCTGGTCAAGGGCATGTACCTTGGTTGCAGACACATCCCCAGTAGGGGGTGTGCAGGAGGCAGCTGATGTTTCTAACTCTCTATCCCTCTCCCTTTCTCTCTGTAAAAAAATCAATAAAATATATATTTTTTAAAAAGAGTTTTGATTTGGTAGATCTATTGTGAGGCCTGGCAATCTTGTTAGGTAACTTTCAGTGATTGTTTTGTGGACTATTTTGGATTCTACTAATCTGTTTTTTTCAGCTCTGAAATTTTTGAACATTTCAAATAATAATTATAAAAATTAGAACATAGAATTATATTAACACAAACTTAAGAACCATATATATTCAGATATTTGATCATTTTTAGGGAGCATAATTAGAATAACTAGACAGAGAAGAAACTAATGAAAATCACATTATAACTACTTATGACTTATAAAAGTTTTAGTCTTTTAGTTATGTTTATCGTTGTTTCTATTTTTTATGCAATAGTTGAAAACACCATTGAATGGTAATTTTTTGTGCTTTCAGCAATGGTAGAAATGTTCATGATTTTTAACAGGTTAAAATAATTCACATAGTTCAAAAATCAGAATAAAAAGTTAAGAGGTGAAAAGTCTTAATCTTTCCTGTCCCCCATTCGCCTAGTTCCCACTCCCAATTCCCCAGAAAGATCATCAGTTTCATTACTTTCTAATGATTTGTTTGAGAGTTTCTCTATGCAAATAGGAACAAAATCCTTCTTTTCTTCCCTTATGAAAGAAGATAGCATATTATGCACACTATTTTATACCTTGCTCTTTTTTTCATTAAACAATATGTCCTGAAGATCTTTCCATATCAATGAACAGAGGGCATTCTTTTTTCCTTTGTGTGATTGCAGTTAAATAAGCACTCTCCCAATTTCGCTGTTACCGTCTTTTGCCATTATCAATGATGCTTCAGTGAATAACCTTGTAGTTTGTTCTTTAAGCATGTACTGTCCAAAGTCTGGTTCCGAGTTCAGATAAATCAGGGTACAAGGGAACCCACATATCTGAATATATTTGGTTCATAAGTTTGTGTTAGTGAGTAATAAAACTTTGGTCAGAAAGGGATTTATCGAGAAATTTACATCAGTTCCTGAGTTTGGATAATGACAATTCAGAGAGTAAGGGATATTTCTCTATCTGTAGGATAACTCCCAGAAGTGCTGAGTCAACAGGTATATTAATTATCTATTGCTATGTAATAAATTATCCCAAGACATAGTGGCTTTAAAATAACAAGCATTTACCTTACACAGTTTCTAAGGATAAGGAATCTGTTTACAATTTGCCTACGTGGTACTGGCCCAGGATCCCTCATGAAGTTGTCAAGCTGTCAGCTAAGGTGGCAGTCATCTGAAGGCTTGACCGGGGTTGGAAGGTCCACCTCCAACACGATTAATTCACATGGTTGTTGGCAGGAGGCCTCAGTTTCTTGCTGCCTATTGCAGAAGTCGTCAGGCCTTTCCACGGGGCTGCATGAATGTCCTCAGAACATGGCTGATAATTTCCCCCAGAGTGTTGATCTTAGAAAGAGAACAGTATGAAGCTACAGTGCCTTTTAAGGCCTCTACTTTATTCTGCTTTACTCTTTTCATTAGAACTGAGTTACTATGTCCAAACAGCCTACACCCAAGGGCTTCACCTCTAAAGAGGAGGAATAGTAAAGTATTTGTGGACATAGTTTTAGTTTTGTTTTGTTTTTAATCCTCATCAGATGATATTTTGCCCTTGATTTCTAGAGAGAATGAAAGGGAGAAAGGAGAGGAGAAAGAGAGAAACATGGATTGGTTGCCTCCCACAGGAACCCCCATCAGGGCTGAGGACCTATAACTGAGGTACTTGCCCTTGACCGGGAATCGAACCTGAGACCCTTTGGTTCATGGGCCAATGCTCTAACCCAGCCGTGGGCAAACTACGGCCCGTAGAACTATTGAAAAAAAAGACTGTACCCTTTTATGTAATGATGTTTACTTTGAATTTATATTAGTTTACACAAACACTCCATCCATGCTTTGGTTCCGGCCCTCCGGTCCAGTTTAAGAACCCATTGTGGCCCTCGAGTCAAAAAGTTTGCCCACTCCTGCTCTAACCACTGAGAAACCAGTCAGGACATATATTTAAACTACCACAAAGGGTATGTGCATTTGTAATTTTGATAAATATTTCCAAATTGCCTTCCATAAGCCTTGAACTAATTTAGATTCCCAGCAATGTTTGAGAGTTGCCAGACTTTTAAAGTGAACTTAATGTAGTTCATGCTACATACAGACAAGTCGGAGAAAAATAAAGCCACCAATTCATCACAGTCTGTTTTTTATGGACTGTATTATGTGTGTTTCCTCCACTCATTTGTGAGCTCCTGGAAGACAGGAGCACACTTTTTCTAAATCTTTATTGCCACCAGAGAACTTAGCCTTATGCTTTGTATTATAGTAGAAGCACAGTAATTTTTTTCTTTGTCTCTGTATATACATACAAAAAGCAAGCAAACAAGTCACTAATTATAAAATCTTGTCTAAGAAGACAACTTTAGGGTTCGGAAATAATACTAAGAAGAAAAGTTTCAGCCACTTTAAAAATAGTACCACTGAACTAATTCAAAGTACCGTTTCTAAAATACTCTTGATTTTTGCTTCTCTGAGATAGTTGTTTGGGTTACCCAAATTAAATATCACTCTCAGAATACGGTGTTGAAGCAGGATTGGATAGCATTCCTCAGAAGTATCATGAGCTTATATATCTGATAAAGGTTGGACTAGGTGCATGCCAAAGTCTTTTCTGACCATAAGATTGTTTATGAGTGAAAATGGTCAAGATAATTTCAGATCATATAACCTATTTAATGTAGGTAAGCATTTCTTTTGGCAAGAGGTGCATCTCCTGAAAAGTTTTCATATAAATGAAACCATTCCAGTTGTACTTGGAAAACATAGTCATTTGGGGCAAATAAATTAAGAAAGGATCATTTAACTTTAAATGATTTCTCCTTAATTTATCCTTTTTGTTATTTCACGTTGTCATAAATTGAGTTTGTTTAAAACAGAGAAAACCTATAATATAGATATTTGGTAACTGATAAATAATCTGTTCCATGCAAAGGGACTTCTCTATTGATATTGGTTTTTATGTGACTGATAGTTTACCTTTTAGTTTATATTCTTAAAAGGGAATTTTCTTTAAGTGCACCAAATGGGGTAACATTAATTATTTATAAAATCAGTATTTTTAAGCATTTGAGTATAGGTTAGAAAAGCCAAGACGACCAAAGAAAACTTTGTTCTCACAGTTCCTGCTTGGTCCCTGATAATTCCCCAAATGTGTAAAGACTCAAAGTAGTATTAGTGAAATGGTTTATTTAGTGTTTGCTCTGTGTTTTCTATTACAAAAAATAAAGAAGTACATCACTTGTCAAAAAGATTTATAAGATTAAGAAATTTTAGGGAATGAGTAGTAACTATTAGTATTTTTTCATTTTTAGTGCTATCTAACTCTATTCAAAAATAAAATTTTCAGCCGAAACCGGTTTGGCTCAGTGGATAGAGCGTCGGCTTGTAGACTGAAAGGTCCCAGGTTCAATTCCAGTCAAGGGCATGTACCTGGGTTGCGGGCACATCCCCAGTGGGAGATGTGCAAGAGGTAGCTGATCGATGTTTCTCTCTCATTGATGTTTCTAACTCTCTATCTCTCTCCCTTCCTCTCTGTAAAAAATCAATAAAATATATTTTAAAAATTAAAAAATAAAATTTGCAGAAGGGTCTTATTTGGCCAGAGTATATGCAGGCGTATGGATGTGTGGGTGTTGAAACACAAGCAAACAAAAACCCTAACATTAGTGTCCCTTTTTTCTCCAGCCATAACCTCAATAGTGGAGCCCCAACGCTGCTTGCACTACCACAACTGAAAACACAAGCTATATATAGCAGGCAGCATTTGACTTCTGTAAAAGCAAACAGTATCTTTATAAGTTAAGGCAAATAGGCAAACAGAATGACTTAAATTGAGTCTTTCCTATTCTCCAATGGTAAGTAGAAAAGGGAAAAGATATTCTCCAAAATCTAAGGACTCAAGAGAGCTAAATACTTTTTAAATTTTTTAATTGAATAAAAAGTTTTTTATCTTGAAATTGAATATTCTATTGACATTTGCAGTTTTCTTTAGAGCCTAAAATAGCTTCCTTGGGAAGAAATACATTTCATTTAGGTTTTCCAAATCCATATACTCTGATCTAGCCTTCAAAATCTCTTTCTTACAATGTAGGAGAACGTTAATTTTTTTAAAAATCAGATTATCATCTTAACCCTTTGGGAAGATAGAGTTCCATTATTTTCCCTATTGAAATATTATCCATAACAATTTCAGGGACAAAGACTTAGTAGTGAACATAAACTAGAAATCCCTTTGGGGTATCTGTGACCCAAAAATGTAAGAAAAGTATAATTATTTCTACAATAATTTGCTTGAATTCTGAAAGTCAGATTACGTATTTTTGTGCTTTCAGCACACAGTAGAACAAGGGTGACTTCACTGAGGTGAATTCATTTCCCACTCCTGGAGTCAGCTGGCGGCTCTAGCTAGGAGGAAAGAGTCCGAGTGGTAGTTGTAACACAACAGAACCACTTAGGCCATTTTTCAGATTACAAATGTATTGTTAAGGTGCTCTAACATGTCCAGATTATCTTCAGAAGTCATTAAGGAGGAGAAAATGATAAGGGGCTCTGAGACATCTAAAAGACAAGTGATTCATCAATTTGGATTCTCCTTGAAGCCATCTGTAACTATGATGATAGTGAGCTGAAGAATCAGTGTTAAAATACACTATTGTTAAGCATTGTCTGCTCAAAGATCTTATCTCATGAGGGCAAATGTTTTGCTTAAATTTATTTACTTACTGATAGATTTTACAGAGAGGAAGGGAAGCGGGGTGGAGTGGCGGGGAGAGAAACATCAATTTGTTGTTCCACTTATTTATGCATTCATTGGTTGATTCTTGTATGTGCCCTG